GGTAAAAATGTGGTCAACTTAAAACAGTTTATAAGCTAAAAAAAAAAACCTACCCCATCTTTTAACTTTTGGCTTAAAATAAGTTTTTTTTTCCAAAACTTAAAATAAGTTATTTTAAGTATTGTCAAACAGCTAAATAAGTAAAAAAACCAGCTTTTAAGGTGAGCCAAACAGGCTTTAAGTGTGTCTCTGAGATTTCGAGCATATGTTGAGGGGGTACTTGTGCATTATCCCGATGTTTTACATCCATAAGTAATTATATTTTGCTATCATTCACATATTTCTTTATTATTACAAATTGTTTATAAATAATAATTATAATAATAATAATATATAATAATAATAACAATAATAATAATAATAATTATAATAATAATAATAAATAAATAAATAAGATAAATAATAATAATAATAATAAATATAACATTAATAATAATAATATATAATAATAATAACAAATAATAATAAAATAATGTGAAAATAATAATAATAATAGTAAAATAATATGAAAATAATAATAATAATAATAATTAGATATAAATAATAATAATTAAATATAAATAATGATAATAATAATAATAATATAATAATAATAAATAAATAATAATAACGATAACAATAATAATAATAATAATAAAAGAATTAAGGGTAAAAAAGTAATATACACGGTCAACATAAAATGACTTTTAAGTTGAAAAATAAAAAGCATACCTCACTTAGGGCCCGTTTGGATGAGCTTAATAAAAGCAGTTTTAAAAAAATAATTTTGAAAGTGCTGAAATTTATTTTTAAAATAAGCAGTTATGCGTTTAGATAAAAGTGCTGAAGTTAAAAAAAAGTTGTTGATGTGTTCGACAAATATGTGCTGATAAACAACTTTTTAAATCAAAATGTATGAAATACCCTTAAAGGATGTTAACATAATAAAAGTTAATTAATTTATAATTTACAGTCATAAATAATTATATTTTGCTATCATTCACATATATCTTTCTCATCACAAATTATTTATAAGAGGAATATAAACTTATGTATCATTCACATAGATCAAAGAACGATTTAAGATTTTATTTTAGTTTCATCCATAGGTAATAATAATAGTTTATCATTCACATATTTCTTTATTATCACAAATTATTTATAAGAGAAATATAAATTTTTATTTAAGTTATATGTGCAACTTATTTTACATTTTAATAATATATAATTTGAATAGATCACTTGAAAGATTTAAGATTTATTTTTTTCATTCATTAATAATAGTAATTGTCTATCATCCACACGTGAAAAGGGAAAAATGGAAAAAAGAGATGTTAAGGTTATGTGAGTAATTTGGAGATTGTATAAAAATATTAAGGGCAAAAAGGTAAAAATGTGATTAACTTAAAACAACTTATAAGCTAAAAAAAAAGAATGCACCCCTACCCAACTTTTAATTTTTGGCTTAAAATAAGTTTTTTTTAACTTAAAATAAGTTATTTTGAGTATTGCCAAACAATTAAATAAGTCAAAAATAAGCTTTTAAGTCAGTTTGACCAGCTTTTAAGCTGAGCCAAACAGACTTTTAATTTTTAGCTTTTGGCTTAAAATAAGTTATTTTTGACTTAAAATAAGCTACTTTGCTATGTGCCAAACACTCTAATAAGTCAAAAAACTTATTATGTTTGCTTGTGACTCTTAAGTTAGTTTCACAAGCTTTTAAGTTCATCCAAACAGACTCTTATTATGTTATGTGACAGAATGGGGTGTACGGGGGTTTATTGGTGATGTATCTAATTCTAACATTTTTTCATGATTTAATGACATACTTAAGACTATAAAATTTAAATTATAAAAGATTGAAATTAAAAGCTGAAATAAAATTTAAAAATACTAATATTTATGTGTCCAATTTAACAATTTCACAATTTATAAGTTTTTTTAAAAAATTATTTCAACTTAAATAAAATTAGGGATAATACACAAGTACCCCCTCAACCTATACTCGAAATCTCAGAGACACACTTATGCTATACTAAGGTCATATTACCCCTGAACTTATTTTATTAATAATTGTTTACCTTTTTTAGGCCTACGTGACACTATTTTGTGGGCCCAACGATGATTGACTTTTTTTAAGCTAGTGCCACGTAGGCTGAAAAGGGGTAAAAAATTACTTATAAAATAAGTTCAGGAGATAATAAGAGCCTGTTTGGCTCAGCTTAAAAGCTGGTCAAACTGACTTAAAAGCTGATTTTTGACTTATTTAGCTGATTGGCAATACTCAAAATAACTTATTTTAAGTTAAAAAAACTTATTTTAAGCCAAAAGTTAAAAGCTAGGGTAAGGGTGCTTTTTTTTTAGCTTATTATCTGTTTTAAGTTGACTACATTTTTATTTTTTTGCTCTTAATATTTTTATACAATCTCCAAATTACCCATATAACCCTAACATTTCTTTCTTCCATTTTTCCTTTTTTCACGTTTGACATAACAACAACTTCAGTACTTTTATCCAAACACATAACTGCTTATTTTAAAAATAAGTTTCAACACTTTTAAAAGTACTTTCTAAAAGCTGATTTTATTAAACCCATCCAAACGGGCCCTAAGACTGTAATATACTATAAATGTGTCTCTAGAGTTTCAGACATATATTGAGAGATATTTGTGCATTTTTCATAAAATTACAAGATTTAATGACACTTAAATATTAATAGTACTTCAAAACATATTATTCTCTTCGTCCACTTTTGTTATATTTCTCTTTTCAAACTATAAAAATTTTAATTAATATTTTATGATATTTTTTTTATTAATATGTAAAATGTTATAATTTTATAATATTTTTATATCACTTTTAAATATTTAATTTAATTTAAAATATCAAATTAATATAATTTTATTTAATTTTAAAAAATAATCAAATTTGAAAAGGCAACTGAAATGAAAGGAAAAGACGGTACGACAGATTTCAGTCCAGCAGGCGCAGTAAAAATGAATTGACGCAGTAATTATCCCTGATTTAGCACATTTTACCATAATCTTTTTATTCCTTTTTGGCAAAATACAATTCTTTTTATAAATGCTTCACATTGGGAAAAGTTTGAAGTTATGTTTCTGATTTTCTTTATATATTATATATTTTTTTAATCATCATAAAAATGTCATACCTCACTAATATTAAGATAGAATAAAATATTGTTATATTATTAAAATAAGTAATAAGAATTTTTTTTTGTTAATCTATGTGATATTTTTTAATCCGCTTAAAAATCGTTATATTTCTGTCATTAAAATAATTTAATCTTAAATTTTTTGTAATCTCCCTTTTTTTCATATTGTCCATCACGCATTACTAGATTAGTTCCACCCTGTCCGAAGTATTTTCATTAATCTCTCAGATTACAAATGATCTTTTCTTTCATTTTATTTAGAATTTTTCTAAGTTAGACTTAAAAGATAAATTGTTTTGGTTATAATTTTTACAAATAATATTTAGCTGTTTAAATATATTTTTCATAAAAAAACATAAATTATAATTTAAATATGATAATTTTTATAAAAGTAAATTTTTAAAAAGATACATAGTAAAAATGTAATTTTAGATGTTTTTATATTCTAAATATTATATTTATCTTTTCACAGTTAAATATTTTCTTTATCTCAATTAATATGATCAACTTTTATTTTTAGTCAATATTAAATAAATTGACATATTTCTTTATTTAGAAACATTTTTAATTTTAAAATTTTATTTATAAATAAAATAATTTATAAGTATATAAATATCTAACTTATTTTGAAATACAAAAATTTGATTTTTTTTTATATTTCTTTAAACTCTACATATTTTTCTTCAAATCAAATCAAATGAGATGTTGGTAAAAATAGTTTCCAAATAAAATGATTTTTTTCCTAAAACGTGAAAAAGTTCTTGTCTCAAACGTGTCCAACGAATCCCATTATCAAATCAAAAACGAGAAATAGAACGCCACTGTTTTTGCTATGTCATATAAAAAAATTATATTATATTTAATATGATATTTGATATGTATTTTAAATGTTTTATTTTATATTTTAAAAATTACATAAACATTGAGTATAAAATTACATAAACATTGAATACTTTATTGAAGTATATACAGTCACATAATAATATACATATATATTATTAAAATATTACACAGATATGCAGCTTAATAGAATAAATCAGACGTTTAGAAGTTGAAGCTGCAACTACTCTGTTTTGATGAAAATGTATTTTAAGTGTATTAATTAACAAAATGAATTGTCCGTAGTTTTTTTTAAATATAAATTTGTATATATGTAATGTGTTAGCAAGAAGTCCTTTGTTAATATAGATAAACATGATTTTTAATATGATTTCAACAAGTAATTATGTCGTTTAATTTTGGAATGTCTACAAATAGACATTTAAACTTGTATAAAATTGAACAAGTTGAAATACTTATTGTAAATGACATAATATTGAATACAATACTGTAATATAGGATAAAATGTCTACTGTTCAATTTTATACAAATTTAAATATTTATTTATATACGCTCTAAATTAAAAATCACAATTAATAATTAACACTAAATTAAGGATCATTTTTATGTGTTATGCCTTTATTTAATTATAAAAATCATAATATTTTATTATAATATATATTAATTATCGAAAAATTAAATAAACCATAATAACCAATTTACATACCATTAAATATCAAAAAAAAAATAATTCAAAATATCAAACTACATCAAATTAAATTAATATGGTAAAAATTTACTTGCATAATTTTAGAAATCAAATACTGCACCGCACCACGCGCTACTGCCGCTTTTTCTGCTCACATTAAAATTACAGCTTTTGCTACACTTCTGAAAATATAACAGAGAAGAGGAAGCAAAAAGTCTTTCTTGGTTTGAGATAAAAGAAAAAATGGCAGCAAGTAAGTTGTCAATAGCCGCAAAGGAAAGATGGAGGAAGAGAAAAGCCGACATGGAAGTAAGCCACAATGAGGTATCTATTTTGTGCCCTTGTTTTTACGCAACAATTTTTCAAACTCTTTACCTATTTTTCTACCGTTTCTCGTTTTCTGAAGTTTTTTTTTTTTGTGTGTGTATTTAAAGGAAGACCAGAATATTCAAAAGGCATCTTTAGCATCCCAGAATGAGGTATGATCATTAACGAAATGAACTGCATGTATTTTGATTTTGCGGAAGAAGTTGAGCATAACAGATTGTTGATAATGCGGGTATCTCTGTTTTTTTGTGTGGTTATGGAAAAAAGATGAGTTTTTTTTATGCTCCTTAGCTACATCTCCGATTCTGTTTTTTTTTTCATTTGGTGTTCGAAGCCCACATTGAAGTTCGGACTAAATTCGAATTGAGGGCCCATTTGAAGGTGGCACTCTAGACAAGATTTTCACTCGGTTAAGAGTGAAGCGCTCTTTTGGTTAAAAGTGAAGCACTCGCTAATATGTCGGCTTCATTTGATACTTACAGTGTGCATATAGTAGTTGTTAATTGACCTTGCATGTTAAACCTATTCCTAAATGCCTCCTTCTTTAAGGCCTGACATAGATTTATTTATTTTCTTATTCGTTTTCTACTTTGGATAAGCTGTACTATAGAGATACATTATATCTTGAGACTCATTGAATGTCTTGCTCATGTTCACGGGTGGCTGAGGGTCCAAGTCACTCTTTAGTGACAACTGATAACGTGCAAAGTAAAGGTCCTCAATTTGTAGCCTTTACCTCAAAGAGGGAAGTATCAAAGGGCAATAACATGATTGTTAGGCGATCCAATCGACTTAGAAGCTTGGGGTTCTTCGGGAAAAGACAAGGGAAGGAACCTGTTCAGCATATCGATATTACCGACTCTGATGGAGATGATGAGCTGCATGTTGAGCCAATCAGTCTTAAACCAATCAGGGGTGTGAGTAGCACAGAAATTGAAGTTGATTTTCCGGTCCACACTGTAAGGATATCTCTTGTTTTTGATGTTTTACTTATTGTATCTTGCTATGCCTGGAATTTTTCCTTAGTGCTCATACTCTATATATAACCTAGCAAAGATTTATGTATTTGCTTATTCATTTCCCTCAATGGACAAGCTGGATTATAGAAGTACATGATACTTCTGCCCCTTGAGTTTACTGATTGCAATGTCTCGATAATGTTTAACAGGCTGATGGTCCAACAAACTCTGCATTCACTAACGCGCAAAGTAAAGTTTCTCGAGCATTTTCTTCAAAGAGGAAAACATTGAAGGCCAATAACATGATTGTTAGACAACCTGGTCAGCGTGAAAGTTTAGGGTCATTTGGGAAAAGACAGGGGGAAGATCTTCATCACGTTGATCCTACTGACTGTGATAGAGACACAGAGCTGCATGTAGAGCCAATTTGTCCTGAACCAATCCTGAATGTGAGTAGCTCAGAAATGATAGTTGATCATTTGGTCCAGACTGTAAGTGTCTCTTGTGTTGTCATTTTACTTGCTTTTCTTCTTTAATCTTGCTATGCCTGAAGCTTGTAGCTTTAATTACTTAACAGAGATGCAAAAGGCCCTTTCCAAGTGAAGCTATGCCAACAAACCTCAACTACGAAATTCTGTATACTAACTCAGTGAAAAAGGTAGTCTGTCTGTCTCTATTCATTTTGTGGTAAAATTTTCAAATCTTATCAGGATGATATTTATCGCTATCTAGATCGAGGCCTTGACGGAGGAAAACTATCAACAAGCCCAGAAATTACACTACATGTTTGGAAAAGTCAAGATAGTAAGTGATATTCCTTATACTGGATGTATTCTGATTTATTACCTTGTGGATGTTATTCTGTTCCTGGTATGAAATCACCATCTGCTCGCTAATGTCCTTAGCTATTCTTGGTGAAGTATATTACTGGAGTTGTGTGAAAGACGAATTTGAATGTATCCAATTTTTTTGGAGGAACTCCGAGAATAAACGTTTATCAAGAGCAGAACTTGTAAGTGGCATCATAGATCCATTTTGATCCTTTGAACATTTATTAACAGCTTTCTCAAGCTTGGTCTCATTGCCAACTTTGCTTTTGTGTTCTCTATTCCTCTATTGAACTGTCGTGGTCCCCAGATAGTGGCTAATGTTTTGAAGACACTGCATGGTCTTTCAAACCCTTTGTTAGCTTGTTTTTTTACAAAATACGTAGGTTGGTACTTCTACTGTACCAAAGATCAGCATTATTGACTGGTGATCGGCAGGATGGCCATTACTATATTTGACTCTTCATTTTCTTTTCGTGGTATGACATATGATTTGACGATAATTGCAGATTTTATTTTTCAATTTGTCAAAAATTGGAATTATCCACCTAAAGACTGAATTCATTTTCAAATCATATACATTAGTAGTTTTTACTGCTCTTTGTTACAATTTAACATGTATCATTGAGAGTCGTCACATTTCTTATACCAAGGTCAGGCTGTTAGAGTATTAGTTTATTCTGATGGACTGACATCTTGTTGCCATGCCTAATCGTACTCAAGACTTTACCTATCGTTGCAAATTGTTGGATAATTACTCAAAACTCCCAAGACATATGAGTGTACAACTATTAAGGCCTAGTTTCACACTTACTTATATATTTGTAGATGATGTCTGTTTCGAAATTCTCACTGTTGTACCAAGTTTCCCTGACATTCCCCACGTTTAATTGTTAATCCTTTTTTCATTTGGCAAGATGTAACGACTAATAATCTTGTTTTGCAGTATGAGAATGTGCTTGCCAAGGATATGGTTGCTTTTTCAAATGGTTGGAGATCAACAGGTGCTGTGACGAACTTATCTGATGGAACAGTCGAACATCATCCAGAGGCGGCTCCTGCACTAAACTCTGCCCATGCACCCAAACCGCCTCCTGTAAAGAGAAAGCACAGTGTTAAGAGGATGAAGAAAAACCAGTAGGAAGTGCGCTCATCCTTGTGGAAGGAGATTTTTGTTTGTTATGACTAGTCGCCTTCAACAGATCCAAAGGCGTAAGCTATATATCTTTTGCTCTATATGGTTTTAGTAAAATGTTATGTCTGGTGAAACTTTCTTGTTTTTGCTCCATGTTTTCTCCTGCAATCTTGGATGCATGTATGTAAGTATGCAAAAGCTAACTTGAAAGATTTTTGCTTTGTCCTCTTTCCAGAAAATGTTGTTACTACTTCTATTTACTAGTGACACTGGAACCAGATGAAATTAAGTGATGTGTGCACACCCTTTTGTTTCCATTGATGATGTGTTCATCTTTTTTTGCAAAATGGTGAAGCCTGCTAGATTAGTGCCCTTTCTATTTTAGGGGAGGAGGGAGACTCGTATTTTATGGGTTCGAACGAGACCCGTAGGTTTGGTCCAAACTTTGTATTTATCTTAATATATCCTCAGTCTTAAATCCTTACTTTGCCCCAACTTCTACATACTAATAGAAAAACAACTTGCTGCATTATACATAAATTTTCAATTAATTGAGGTATGGCTTCATTTTTATTTGACATAAAACAAATTTTTTTTTGAATATTTTGTGTTATATTAAATAGAATTGGTATGTAGAGGTTTAGCGACAAAATTATTCAGTTTGTATTTATTTACAAGAAAAAAGTGGATAAGTAAAGATAATTATTTGTTCTGAAAACAAAGACAACGATTCGGTATGGTTTGCAAAAGTGAGTTGTGTGTTGTGACTTAGGGCGAAGATAGAGCTAGTCGAGTTGAATATGAGTTGATAAAAAAATGAGTTAAATAAAATGTGTAAGTTACTCTACTTGATTCATATTTTTAATAAAAATGAGTTACCAATAGATAATACAGATAATTATATTTACCAATATTATACTAGAGATTTTGTTAAAAGCTTTTAAAAAAATTATCACTTCACTCGACCCCATCCCCTACCAGCCCCCCTTCACACCACATCCAAAAAAAAAAAATTAAAAATTTTTTTTAAAAAAAATCTCACTACACCACCCCTCGCCACAACGCCTACCCCCCCTACCAGAACCCCTCCTCAACACCCCATTCCAAAAAAAAATTAAACAATTTTTTTAATTCTTTTTGAAAAATACCACCCCCTACAAGCCCCCCCCCCCCCACCCTCCACACTCCATCAAAAGAAAATTAACAAAAATTTAAAAAAGGATTACCAATACACCCCCTTACCAACCCCCCCACCCCCACACTCCTACCACCCCTATCCCAAAATTAAAAAAAAGTTTTTTTTTAATAGATTTCTTTTTCTAAAAAAGAATTCCTTACTATTCAATCCTTTATCACTTTTTTTTGTTTGCTTTTACTCATTTTATCCATTTAATTACACACTTTTAAATGAGTAATATAAATATTACTTGTTTTTATCCATTTTTAGATGAGTTGGATACCCAGTCCATTTAAAATGAATAACATAAATGGACATCCATATCGTTTACCCATTTTGTCACCCCTAGTTGTGACTATTAGACCATCTTCAATCCCACTCTATTTTATCCTCTATTCTCTATATTTTAGAGAGTAAAATAGAGATTGACCTCTCCAACCGTCCTCCAATTCACTCTTTATTCTCCATATATATAGAGTTGAATAGTATTTCTCTAAACACTTTCTATTTTGCTTTTTTAATATTTTATTATTGTTTCTATTATTTGTAATTTACATATTATTTTTCATATATGACTAAATTAAATTCTAAGATTTATGATTTTTTTGAATGTAAATGATATTTTAAAAATATATATTATTTAATATATACTATTTCATTCATAATAATAATATTTTAATTTTTTTGTCAATTTAATATAATTTGATTTTATTATTAATTTTCACTATAGAGAATGCACAATTTTAAATGGTCTACAATCGTTCAAAATATTCGTAATCCACGTTCTCAAAAGAAGTAATATTACACGATAAAATAATAATCAAGCTGAAAAGATGTTGAACGTACATTCAAAGGTTTGCAATCACATTTTTGCAATTATTCTAGGACAATCGCGTTTTGGAAAAAGAAAATTCTACATGATATAGTTGCTACATGTAATATATTGCATAACATGATAATCGAGGATGAACATAATCTTAATGCACCAATTTAAGATATTGTAAAGGCTCCAGCTGCAACGACAAAAATGGTGTAGATAAAAATTTTTATTTGAATATTTTTTTAGCTAGACATAATAAAAATTACGAAAAAATGCTCATTTTGAATTTCAAAATGCGTTAATAGAGAATTTATGTGAGCAACATAATAGTCTTGAAAGTTAGTATTTATGTAATTCTTGTATAATCATATTTCATTAATGATTTCACTTTTATTTGAATGGTTCATTAATTTGTGTATATATATATTTTTTTAATTTATGTTATTTAAGAATTTTGGATAAAATATTATTTTATATTAAAAAAGAATTTGAAAAAAATAATAGTACATGAATATTTTATCAAAGTGATTATTTTGAAAAAAGATGAAGGAATTTATATTATGAAATATGACAATAAGAATGAAATAGAAATAATAATATAATATTAAGGAGAAAATCTTTTTTTAGAAGTCTAAAATAGAAAATTGAGTTAAAGTTGGTTATCTGAAAAAATAGAAAACTTTAAATTTGGAGAGTGAAATAGAATATAATGGAGAGTGAAATAGAAAATAGGATTGAAGATGAATTCAAAATAAATGTCCGCTAGCACGTCGATCGGTTAATTCAATAAAATCGGAAGCCCTTAGTTAGCATAAACTTTTTTATTTTTGGATTGCTACTTAGTAAATGTTACACTTTTATCCTCGAACTCATCTAACATGCTAGCACCAATTTCTTAATTTTTGTGTTCCATCCATTCCATCCTAATTGCAAATTATTAAGGTTTATACAATTTCGTCTATTTCACATAATTGATTGAACTTTTTGCCTTCATTAAAAGTTTCTCTTTTAGACAAATTATTTTTTCACCTTTTTCTTCAAATTATTATTTAATTTATCTTCATATCATCATATAATATATATATATATGGCAAAGACTCCTAAAACACATTGGAATGAAAATTATTGTTCCTAAATATATAAGAGGTTTAGGCCTCATTTGTTAACACTTAGTGAAGCTCTAAATCTTAATCATTTAGATTCAGTCCAGTAAGTACGTTTAGTTTTTAGTTTTGAATCTTAATCATTCAGATTTCATTTGTTTTTTTTTTTAAAAAACTCTTAATGGATCTTAATGAATGAGATCTATAGCAGAGTATTATTCAGATTGTATTAAAAAAATAAACGTTCTTTTATTAAAAAAGTATCTCTTCTTACTTGCTTCTCTACCGGGCAAGTTTCAAGTTTCTTTCTCTCACTTTCCAATCAAATATCATTTTTTTTCTTTTAGATAAGTACGTGTTCATATTCTTTTACAAATCCTTTTAATGTATGTAATATTCTTGAGTGAATTGATATTTATGAATGACTCTTCTTGTTACAATTAGTTCATTTTGTAAAATTATTTGAAAGAACTTATCATTGTTTCTTGAAAAAAAATTGTTGAAGAAAACAAATATATCAATTTTTTGATTTTCTAGGTGGTGTTCATAGTCTTATTCTTGAAATAATTTTTTGAAAGAAGTTATCATGAGTTTGGATTATTATTATTTTTATTGATATAGTGTTTAATTCCTATTTTTATATAAAAAAAACAAAGAACTATTCACCTTCATATTGAAAACAAACAATCTTAATGATTCAGTGTTTAGACTTAAAAATCACATTTCAATATTCAGATGTGTATTCAGAATCTAACAACTTAATCATAATGCATATCTTAATGTTTAGATGTATATTCAAATTTACACGTCTTAATCTTAATAAAATAAAACAAATGAGGTGTTAGGTTTTTTTTAAAGAAAAAAAACTTTCCTCTCATAAAATATTATGAAAATTAATAAGTTTTTTTTTTATTACTTTTATTTCAAAATATTATGAAAATTAATAAGTTCTTTTTATTACTTTTCTTTCGACAGTTTGGTGTGGCATTATAGCCCTTTCAATTCTATATAGGTTCATACATGAGATAAGGTTGTGTATTGGTCTGTTCAGTTTAATTTGGATTTTATCGGTTTTACTTATTGGTTATTGGTTTGTAATTATGCTAAATCGTTATGAAATTGTTAAGATATTTGATTTATCGGTTAGTGATCATTATCGATTTGATTAAGTTATCAGGTTAACCATTAATTGTTCACATAATTTTTATTGAGAATTACTAATGGACTAATCACTAATTATGGTCTGGTGGACCCTTATACTTGTATCAGTTTATATTCTGAATCCTTCTACTTATCTATTTGTCATTTGGACCCTTAGACTCAATAAAACACAATATATCCGACCATTCTGACCATTGACCATACTTATGTGGCTTTAAGATGGCTGAGTTGGCGAAAGTGTGTGATTTCACACTCCTTAAGGCGAGCGAATGACATTTTTGGGTTAAAAAAATTAAAATTATATAATAAATAAATTTTAAAAAAATAATTAATTAAAAATTCCTTCTTCTTCACCAAATATCCCATCCTTTTCACCATTTTCATCCAAAGTCTATGAAAAAGCCATCACCACTGTTGTCGCCTTTTTGCCGGCGAAATCAATAAACTCTCTCCCTCACCTGTCTACATCTCCACTGCACACCATCACCATTTTCCTTTCCTCCTCCAACCTTCACAAAATCAACAACTTAAGTCACCTCACCACCAAATCTGACCGAAAAACCTCTTCACCGCCATCACTTCGCACCCTCACCACCTCGTTCTTCTCTACATTGATCGGAGCCGACTCTCTCTCCCTTACTCCATTGTGAAATAGTGGTCTCCGGCGATTGTGATTTAGTGCTCCGATGAATACTACCAATGCCGCTTTCTGTCGGCAGTAAATCAATGGCCTCAAGTTATACCCAAGATTTGGTAAGTTGATGTTAATAGATTCTGAAGAAGGAAAGAAAAAGATTGTGTTTGGGATGAAAATGACTGAAAATGATTATGAAGAATGGGAAAAAATAAAATTTCTCCATGGATTTTGGCAGTGAATTGGGAAATCGGATGTATGGAGGTTTCATCTTTTTCCATTATAGCTCACCAAGATCTTCATCACTTTTTCTATCATTAAACAACCATATCAATAGATCAAACAAAACACATAAAAACATATGAATATGCAAAACATGAAATTGGAGTAATGAAGTTGAAGAAAAAGTTGAATAGAAAATGGTGAAATAATACTCTAAAAAATAAATTAAGATTTTATCATTTAATTTTTTTATTAAATAATTTCAATTAATAATTTTTTTAAAAATAGTTATGAAATAATTATGACATGACATTAATATATCTGACGTGAATATGACATGTCATTTATGTGAAGGAGAGTGAGCTACACACATGGTCATAGGGGTTTAAAAATCTCAGGTTCAGGGGTCCAGATGACAAAAGGTTTAGTAGGAGTATCCAGAATACAAACTGATACAAGTACAAGGGTGCACCAGACCATTCCGCCTTAACAATATGTAGTAGTCAGTAATCACTGATGAAGTTTTCCTGTTAATCTATTATTACCTAAAACACTTAGTAAAACTTCATATTAACCTGGACAAAGATATCAATATTCCTAAACTGGCAAACTCAAAAAGATTCCTCGTGACAACCAAGCTAATTTCAATATGAACTATAAAGAGAAATCATTAAAGTACTACTAACGAAAACTATTAATGATCATGAGACCATTACTAATTTAAAAAAATTCATTTCAGATTGGAGTATTGCAATATTGTAGGCATATCTCATTGACTCACTCACTATAATGAAAAGATAAAAACAAAGACTTAAAGTAAGGAAATAAATCAGTGATGTCGCAACTTTGAAATATTATTGTGAAATTTGAGTGTCAACTATAAAGTCACAGTAAAGAGTCTGAAGACTGAAGTGTAAACCCTAAAGGCTAAGGGGGCGTTTGGTAGGATATATTAAAAGAAATAATCCTTGTATTAGATGTGGTATAATTTAATATTGTGTTTGGTAGGAATGTGAGCCTATGTATAACTAATCCATGGATTAGTTAATACATCCTACATGGTATTATGTGATGTATTACTAATACCTTCCATTTGGAGGTATTAACTCTAATACCATGGGACTATTCTAGGTAAAGACAAAAATACCCCTCAAATCCTTTTAATATTTTATTTATTTTTTTGATTTTATATTTTATATTTTATATTTATACTAATAAAGTTATTTAAATAAATTAGCTTACAAATTTTATTATTTATATATAATTTTTTGTTTCTAAAATATGAATTACGTAATCTATTTATTATTAATATAAAATATTATAATCCGACTAATATGTTTATGTTGATGTATGAATTTAAGAACAATTCATAAGTAAAATATTGTCTCTTAATGAAAGTTCATTAAACATTACACAAGTAGTCTAAAACAAGAGTGTGTGTGTATATATATATACACGCACATCTCGAGTATAAAAATAGTTTAATTTATTTTTCTATATTTATTTTATTTTATGATAAAGAGTTTTTTAAAATTTATTGATACAAAACAAAGTTCAATAAATTTTCTCTATAATCATTATAGTTGTGTGACCTTTTGAGTTATTAACTTTAATTTATTAAGATGACAATTATTTACTCTCAAATAATTTAAGTGAGAAAATAGTGAACACGACAATAAAAATTTTATTCTCCTAACTAGTTAAAAATGTCATAAAAAAGTAATATTCTCCATTAATTATCTACTTTGACTCAATTACATGAAATACAAAATCTCATAATAACTCTAGGGTATAATTGGAAAGTTTTTTTTAAAAAAACTTTTAAACCACACACAAAATTAGATAAGAAACAATGAACCAAACACTTGATAAAAATAATCCATGCATTAATAATCTCTGCATTGCTAATCTCTGCATTGCTAATCCCTGTATTGCTAATCCCTGCATTGTTAATCCCTGCATTATTCATTTTTTTACCAAACGACCCCTAAGTGCTTAAAGCCCTAAGTAATATAAATCTAATTAATTAAACTTTTTATCAAGTTATCAGGACACTTGATTAGAAATATGATCAAATCGAGACCCTAATTGATAAGCCGTCAAAAGTTTATAGTAAATTGAGACCCGAACCATTAAGTCATTAACCTGAATTATTGATCCAGTAACTGAATTATCAATTTGGATTATCGATTTTGATTCAATTTTAATCAGCCCTAATGTGAGACACTTGAAATATTATAAATATAGTTAAATAATAATTTAAGTAAAATAATTTATACTTGTAAAATGCATACATTGAAATGATTGACATTTTATTATCATTTTATTTGGGTTATACATCTTAAATATTTACTTATTTGTAAGACAAAACTTCTAAATTTAATTTTTGAAAATTGACTAAAATTTAGTTTATTGAATCTTTCCTTATTTAAATTAAGTTCTAATACTGTAATACTTTAAAATCAATTACAATTTTAAGAATTTAAGAAAAAATTTAGCCGTACCGGATATACATCAAATTAATGTAATTTTCATTGTGTAAAATTAACATCCCACACACATTTAAGAAGACAAATATCAAGTTGTAATCGTACTCTTCAAAAATAAACTACTTATAGCATATTATTATCATCTTATAGCACATCAATTAATAATATATTAATTAAAAAAATAAAAATAAACTATTTATAGCATATTATTATCAAGTTATATCATATTAACTAATAATATATTAATAAAAAAATTATTTTATTATTTAACTAATAATTATTATGTTTAAATAATTAGTTTCATTTATTCACTTACTTTTTATCAACAAAACCTTTTAAATTATTATTGATTAATCAATTACCTTTTAAAGTTTTTAATATAAATAATATATTATTAAATATTAATCAATTACCTTTTAATGTTTTTAATATACATAATAAATTATTATTTATTAAATATTAATTAAACTTCATATTATATAGTTACCTTTTTTTTAAAAATCTAAAAATTAGGGATTTGATTTTAATTAATTTCATATTATATGGTTACCCAGTAACCACCCACCCACATATCAACCAATACTCTTTTATCTTCCCCCATACACTCAACCTCTCCCCTTTTTACACCCTTCTCTTTCTACCATATTAATTTTGCAAGTCTTTTTTCACGTTTCTCTCTCTATTAATCAATTAAAGGCAGCACACGTCTCTCTCTATTAATTAATTAAATACAGCACGCCTAATTTCTCTGTCATATTAAATCTGAGCATATATATTCGCACGCTTAATGTCATCTTCAAGTACAATTCCTTACAAGCTTTAAACTTATTTCCCAAAATCAGATTAAGCTTAAAATCCTTATTCAACTACATCTCTATCAATCTTCCACAAAATTAAGTTTTTTATTTTTCGACATCGAATTCGCAATATTGCATGATTTTCGGAAAACATCGTGTTGTATAGATTTTTAATATAAATAATAAATTATTATTTATTAAATATTAATTAAACTTCATATTATATAGTTATCTTTTATAAAACAAAATCTAAAAATTAGGGGTTTGATTTTAATTAATTTCATATTATATGGTTATCCAATAACTATCCACCCCCATATCAACCAATACTCTTTTATCTTCCCCCAATACACTCAACCTCTCCCCTATTTACACTCTTCTCTTTCTACCATACTAATTTTGCACGCCCTTTTTCACGTTTCTCTCTCTATTAATTAAAGACAGCACACGTTTCTCTCTCTATTAATTAATTAAGGACAACATGCCTAATTTCTCTGTCATATTAAATCTGAGCTTACATATTCGCAGGCTTAATGTCATCTTCAAGTACAAACCCTTTCAAGCCTTAAACTTATTTTTCAAAATCAGATTAATCTTAAAATCCTTATTCAACTACATCTCTATCAATCTTCCACAGTTTTTTTATTTTTCAACCATCAAATTCGCAATATTGCATTATTTTCAGAAAAAATCGTGTTGTATAGATCATCAAACATGTTTATTTTCTTAAAGTTTTTATTCTTTCATTGATTCTTTTGTCAAATTATTTAATTTTTATATGTTGTTGCTTGATTTTAGGAGAAATTTACGTTGTATATATAATGCAGATTTCTTCAAGTTTTATATTTGTTCATGTCAAATTCTTTAATATTTATTTATCAATAAATATTTAGGATCTAAGTTGTTGAATACAATGTCTAAACCAAATGCCCTATGGAGATTCACAAGAGGTACAAACTATACCAGTAACTTCATGGTTGATATACCATCTTTTGATCTATGTATAACTCAAATTCAATTGCAAATCTCAGGCTATACAACTGCGATGGAATTAGAGAAGAAGTCGAATGATGAACTAGTAAGGTCTAGTCCTTCTAAAAGGAAAGTAGTGTCAACGGTGAAAGCAATCGAAAAAAAATGTTACAAGAGGAGGAAAGTAAAAATTTTTGTCCCGGACATGATTGGAGAACCGGTTGTTAATGAAGAACAAGACGAAATGAGTGAAGAATCACATAGTTCATCAATTTTTTTTCTTCTTCGTCTTCTTGGTGTGTGAAACCAAGAAATGATTTTGACTTGTTCACAAAAATCCAGCAGTAAAGATCTTGTAACACTCATGTCTGCATGTTGTACAAGATATATTTAACTATATATGTCATAATATATTAATTGTTGTATTTAATGGTAGTATGCTTAAATGAATATTTGCACTTTATTAAATGTGTATGATTTTTGTATAAATTTCGATTGCAATATGCAAAAATATATGAACATGGTATGAAAAATGTATAAATATTGTATAAATTATGAATGTCATATTAAACTTTGATATATGTAACAGAAACAAATGGTATATATATGAACATTGTCTGAATACTATATAAACATTTTATGAATGACAATAGAGTTCAATGTATATAATGTATAAACATTGTATGAATTATGAATCCCATATTGAACTTGGATATATGTTAGCAGAAACAAATGGTACATATATGAACATTGTATGAACACTGTATGAACATTGTATAAATATTATATGAACATTTTATGAATGACAGTATAGTTCAATGTATATTTATAATGTATAAACATTGTATGAATTATGAATGTCATATAGAACTTTGACATATGTAACACAAACAAATGATATATATATGACAATTTTTTACGAAATCAAACTTTATAAATGTCAATGATAACAACTGCACTCAATAAAACAAAATGTGTTTCTAACATTCAAAACAACACAATAACAAATGTAACATTATGAAATCATTGTTTTTGCATAGGATAATTTGAACACGTCTTTCTATAGTGTCCAACTTGATGACATCTACTGCAAGTCATTTTTGTCCTTTTGAATTTCACGTCAGCAAATCCCTTCCATTTTTCAAGTTTTGGTCTACGCGCTGTACAAAATTAATACAAAACATATATTCTAATTTCATTAGAAACATACACTGTAATTTTGAAAAAAATAACTGGACTTTCATACACAAATGATACAGTTTTCGTATAATCTTCATACACTATTAAAAAAAATTCAGACTTCAACGTTACACAAATTTATAATCAGTTCATATAATTCAAACACACTTCATACATAGTTAATATATCATTCAGTGTCCTATACAATACTCCAATTAAACAAACACAATACATTTTCAATACAAAATTAATATAAAAATATATATTATAATTTAAATATAAACATATATTGTACGCCAAAATTTATCAGGTTACTTAAAAAAAAGAAGTGAAATATGCAACTATGAAAATATTCTTGTGTTTTTAGAAAAAATGACTTATATGTTGAAAGCAATGTGAAAATAATCATGAAATTTTGGAAAGAAGACTACTTGTAACGTTGATCCAAATATGTTTGAAAATGATAATCTGAAAGTATTCTGAAAATTCAAAAATATTTGTTATTATCTGGTTGAGTTTCTTGAGAAATTAATTCAAAAAAATAATATTATTTTAACTAACTAGAGATATTTAAGGCAATGATGATAATTTGAAAATGTTTAATATCCCTAAAAACGTGTTAATCATATATTTAACTTTAATTAAACTACCTAAAAAGTGCAACTATTCATATTAACAAATGTGCTGCATTAAATGTAGCAATAAAGAAACAAAAGTTTCATAATTTGTGTTGTCAGTGTGTTAATTATTAACATTAATTATCCATTATTACTTTATCCCCTTAATTTTTAATTAATTGTTAATAACAACTCTTTTTAATAAATTATAATTAACAATATAATTATTAATAAAATGCTATAGAGTGAGATTTTAAATGCTACACAATGAAATTGAAACTCTAATGCCATAACTTGATAATATTACTATATAAAATGCTATATACAAAATTTACACCATTGTTACATGATTTAATAAAGTAAAATGAACTATAAATTTAAACACATGACATACATGTATTGATTTGGTGTAAACACCGGTGCAAATAAGTTTTACCCATTTATAGAGTATTATTTTCTTAACTAATATTAAATAAGAAATTTAATGCCTTTATTTTCTTTTTGAGGGATCGATTGTATATTAATCAATTGATCATCAAGAAGTTGAAATCCTTCTATATAGAGGTAAAACATGTGTTTTGAACAAGGGGAAGTTCTCTTATCAATAGATATAAATTTGTATTTTGAACGGTTTTATAAATATAAATTATATATTTTGAATAGGACAGAATAAAAAGATATGCTTTACCATGTATATTCATACATGGAATTAGATTTAAAGCCTATATTTTGAACAACAAAAGAAATAGAAAATTATGTTTGCTTTTTCATTATTTTTATCAGGATTCTTTATGTGGTGTTCTCTTGCTAATCCGTTAAGAGATATGTAAAATCTTTTTTTCGATTTTAGAGATAATTATGCTTATTGTGCTTCAAAAAAATCACAACACTTAAGTTTGATCAAGAAGAAGCGATGTGGAAGAATTACAAGGACAATTGTTCTAATAAAATTTGTTGATATTTGTCCAAAAATCTTACTGGTAGATAATAAGTTTTAACTAATTTAATTCAAAGTTTTATACTTTGGTGGATTTAGTCATTTAACTATTTAAAAACTTATCAGTTTTCAAGTATTCAACACTTATTTCCTTTGGTCCCTCAAATATATACTTACCAATTTTAGTCTTTTAAGTATTACAAAATTTACTAGGTTTAGTCTTTGTCTATTTTTTTTTAATCATAAAAATAGTTCAGGAAAAAGGGTCTGAAAAATATTTTAACTTTGGTCGAATTTATTGTTACAATACCAAACTTTATGGAGGACCTTTTACCCCTTGCACTATTTTATAGTGTATTTTAAGGCTATATATGTGCTCAAGTGGATACATTACTATTTATAATGATACAATATTTATGATGTGCACGTGAGTACATATATACCTCTAAAATACACTATTAATCCTTTCCAAAGTTCGATATTGTTACACAATTTTGATCAAAGTTGAGATCTATTTTAGACCTTTTTTCCAATAGTTTAGGTTTATATTAACGAAACTCTTCGTGAAATTAAATCTTTAACCCATTTTTTAAGTTGTTTCTCTATCCCCGCAACTTTTCTTTTTCAAATTACCATAATGAAAAAAGCAATAACCTCAACAATTCAAATAAAATTAATGAGAAAAGAAGATATGAGTCCAAGTTTTATTCAATGAAGGATAAAATAAAGCATATAATTATTGCTAATGGCTTGAGTATGTTGTGTTATGTTCTTTGAATTAACGATTCATAATCAGCACAAATATTTTTAATTTATTTTTCATAAAAAAAATTGTTGTTATTACTTAAATTTCTCTACATATATAATAAACTAATAAAATCAATCTTTTTTTCTAAAAAACTAATATAAATTTTTACTTTTGAAAAATTAAGCGAATTCCCTTCAATAAAGCCGTAGAGTGCAATTTTTTAATTCATCGAGTAAAATTTTTTTAATAATAAAGTTTAGCATATTCAAGTCGTTAGTAGCAATAATATGCTTCACTTATAATTAGCTGAATAAAATTATGATTTATACTTTCTTTTTTCCTGAATTTTATTTTAAATAATTGAGGTTAAGGTTTTTCATATAAAAATAATTTGAAGTAAAAATAGCGATGAACGAGAAACAACTAAAGAAATGACTAAATGATTAATTTCGCGAGGTATATATTCTGTTAATATAAATTTAAGTTGTTTCTATAAGAATGGATAGAGATCAAATCTGAAAAGTTTTTAAATACTTGAGGACTAAAATCTATAAATGTATAGTTAAGGAACTTAAACCGATAAATATATAGTTAAGAGACAAAATCTATAAATGTATAGTTAAGGAACTTAAACCGATAAATATATAGTTAAGAGACCAAATCTAATAAGTTTTTGAATAATTGAAGGACTAAATCCGACAACAATATAGTTAAGAGACTATTTTAGACCTACTCCTATAGTTAATGAACTATTTATGTCATTTTCTCTATAAATAAGGTTCAAATGTGTATTGTCATTTGTCTATTTTATCAAGTAAATTATCTCAAAATTATTAAACCATTTAAGAGAAGGATAACTTATCTTGTTACTAATTATTAATCTCAAAATAAATTATTCCAAACTTACAAACAAAACATTTATTTATCATTGTCATGTAATTTCAAAATTATTTGATATTATCGAACACACCAAACAATCCCTAAAAGTTGGAAAAACAAATCTCACAAAATTACAATAGATTTGCAAGTGAAATGCAGAAAAATACACGACTAGACATATTTTAACCGTGTTTAGCATGTCTAAGACCACAAGATTAAAGGATAGTTTTGTACATTTTCACATAACTTTAATTTAAGATCACAAAATTCAAAATTCTTTTTTATTTCCTTAAACCTCGTCACTAGTCAAATAAGATCATTCTTTTTTAAACAAAGAAAATATTAGTTAAATATTAAATTTATTTTAATTTTTTCTTAAATTTTATTGTATCACATTGTTTAAATTCACTATTAGATAATAATTAAAAAAAATCACTTTGTGTACCGATTGATTTGATATGATCACGCCAATGCTTCAATATTTTTATTTTTCATTTTGTCTTTATTAATAACTTAATAATCTTATTTTATTTTTTTATCTTATTTTTTTTTATAACAGTTCTACTTCATACACAATTTTTTCTTATAAGTTTATAATTCAAATTATTGATATGTGATATTATGGGTGTGTTTTGATATGGATGAAAATATTTTCCTAGAAATGTTTTCTTGAAAAATAAGTAGATTTTGGATTTATTTTCTTCTGTTTGGTTGGTGATTAAAAAATATTTTTCCGAAATAATTTTTAGTGTTTGATGAATGAAACATGTTTTTGTTTTATTTTTACTAGAGTAAAAAATAATTCATGAAATTGAAAATATTTTTTAAAAAATAATTTTTTTTTGGAGTGGTGGTGGGTGGGGGGGTCAAGAATTGGGTGAAAAAATAAAATTTTGAAATTGAAAATATTTTTTTTAAAATTGATGTTTTTTCCAAAAAAAATGTAATTTGAAATTGGAGGAGACTTTTAAAAAATATTTTTATTAATTTTTGAAGCAAGTCATTTCCATTAATTTTGAAGAAAATGAGTTGATTTGCAAAATATTTTTCAAAACTTTTATTTTAACCAAATACAAAAAATCTAAAAAACATTTATATAACTATGCTA